GCGACGATCATGCTTGGCCGTGTGCAGCGAGTGGGGCTCGTGGCTCAACGCCGAACACACGAAGATGGAGTACATTGGTGGTGAGCGATGCTGGAACGGTCCCGACCGCAAGACGATCGTGGAGCTGACCTGCAGCGACACCAACACCGTCCTCTCCGTGCAGGTGACAATCCCCTTCGTCATGCCATGGTCTGCACAATCCTCCCGCCTTGTCTCACCTTTTTGCCGCGTAGGAGCCGAACAAGTGCGAGTACCACATGGAGTTCACCACTCCGGCTGCGTGCTCGCCTGAGCGACTCGCGCAGCTCGAGCAGGAGCTTGCCCGCCTGGAGAACCCGAATGAGGTGGTCGTCCCACTCACCACCAACGACCTCCTCTGAGTCTTCCTCTACCTCCGGAGGTCTTGTCAGCGACACCAACAAAGGAAGTGTTTTGGCTGGCGCTTACGCCACGGCTACAAAGAAGACGATCGATCTTGTGTACTCTCTGTCGTGATGATCAACAACACGCCGCCAGCACGTCGGCAAACTCCTCTCGCGAGAGAGACAGGGCCTCGAGAAACTGGTAGGGACTCTCCAGCCCTGCGAACGCCTCCTCGGAGACCTGTAAAGGAGTCGTGAGTCACAGTTCCATGTCAAGGTTTCCTTGTCCAGGTCACCGCGGTGGCTGGCTTACCGTGACAATCTGTCCGGCCACTTCAGGGAAGCCTGCGCGCTGGTCCCACACGTTGGGCGTCGCGAATCTGCGTGGGATGACATATGCCCTGCGCGCCAGGCAACCAGGTGAGGTCGAACAGAGTGAGCGGTCACGACTGATCAACGTTTGTGCGGATTGAGGAAGGAATGGGTGGTGCACAGTACTTCCGCCCGCCGCTAGAGAAGATGAGGTTGTGAGGGATGTTATGTCGCAACAGGTGGTCCACACACGAATAGACGGCCGCAGAAAGGCGGCCTGGCGACACGTCTTCTGCGTGTGTAGAGAACAGCAGCGAGCGAATGGGATAGCCTGGAGGCGCCCACGCGCATGGTCAGCCACCCCTCCCAGAGTCGCATTCGTACAGACTGGAAGGCGCACCTTGCGATTGAGAGATGGCCAGACCGGAAGACGATCGCAGTAACGCAAAGGGGGCGCTCTCCACCGGGAGCTGTCCGTCGGGGGTGGCGTTGAAGTACCAGCCCTGGAAGTGCAGATGATTGACGGAGGCGCCGCCTTTGGCCAAACAGTTCAATAAAAAGTGCCAAAGAGAGCGTGGGAGAGTGAGAGAACGGTACCGGCAAGCGAGTTGTAGCCCACGCGCAGGCCCTCGGTGCTCTGCGCTGCCAGCAGGAGGCCCACCTCGATCGCCTCCTGCGTCAGGACCTGAGGCAGCATGCGATCCGTGCGCACGACGAGCACGACGCAGCCGTAGGCGAACGGGTGGCTGTTGACCAGCACGCCGGCCAGCTCGCTGGTCCACCCCTTCTGCTGCTCCTGGTCGTGTGCGTGCTGCGACTCCGCGTGGGCAGGCTGCGACCGGACGACGTCGATCGTGAACAGCACCTCACTGGCGTCCTTGTTGTTGAAGTTGAACGCTCCGCTGTCCGTCGTGAAGGGCTGAACCACTTCGTGCAGCTCAGCCACTGGATTGATGGGCCTGGGAGTGATTAGCAAAAGCGAAGCTCCATGGTCTTGGCTTGGTGGTGTGGTCTTCCTGTACCTGTGCCTTCTGCCCTCGACCTTCTGAAGGGCGAAGTTGATGATCGCTGGCGGCTGGTCATCTTCCGATGTTGAGGAGGTGGGCAGCGCTACCTCCACGAGCCTGGTCGTCACCGTTCGAGCATCGAACGCGTACTTGAGATGTGTGCTCTTGCTGGCCCAGAGGTGGGCAAAGATCGCATCGAAATCACGAACCTGGGCACTGAGCTCGGGCTGCAAGATCAGCCTCGGTGGAGTGGCCGTGAAGTCGAAGCCGTACGATGTTGGAAGGGGCGAAGAGTAATTCCAGACCACAATCGCAACGGCGATCACCAAGACGGCCAGCGCTCCCTTCCAAGTCCAGGCGGGCGCCCCGTGTTTTTCGTTGGTCCTTGATCCACACCGACCCCGTGAGTCTAGGCGTTCTCTTGCGCCTGCTGCGCTGCCCATTTGATTTGTCTCATTGAATTGCAAACAATCACTCGCGTAAAATAAAATGTTTATTTGTTATTATTGACGATTGTGCCGATCATTGCAATAATTCCGTTCAGAAGAACGAAGAGAAGAACGACCGAAGCGACGAGGCGCCGCTGTTGGCGGGAGTGGAGGAGACGTTGAAGTAGGCGGCCCACTTGCCGCAGAGCGGGCTCAGCTGGGCGAAGGGGATGGTGGCGGCCTGGGCCGGGTCGTAGTCGACCGTCGACTGCTGCCACAGGAAGGCACGCCTCTCGGTGGCGTTGTGCGCGGGCCAGCCGGCCTGCGGCGCGCCCTGCGTGGCGATGGTGGACCACGACTGGATCATGCGGTAGGCCAGGGCCAGATCGACGGCGCTGAGGTTGTAGCCCGGGGTGTAGACCGTGCTGTTGAAGACGTAGACGAGCTCGTTGCCGTGGGCGGCGCCCTCGTACTGGTTGGCGTTGTTGACGCTCGTGTGGTTCCACACATAGGTGTAGATGGTCTCGTCGACAGCGCGGTCGACCAGGTAGGGCGCGGCCAGGATCGACGGGCAGATGATGTAAAAGTCGCCTTCAAGTTGAATCAAGAGAAGGAAGAGAAGTCAGCAATGTGCGCATTCACGACACATCAACGCCGATTTGAGGTGGTGCGACTTACCGAGGATCTTGCCCAGGCCGTACCAGTAGCCCAGCTTGGCGGTCGAGGCGCTGTACCAGCCGATGACCTGGTTCATCTCGGCCTCGGTGAGCCAGTAGGCCAGGCTCCGGTTCTTGGCGCCCGTGAGGAAGTTGGCCTGGGTGATGTTGTCCTCGGGGCCCTTGAAGCCCAGGCGGGTGCTGGCCATGAAGTTGCCCTCGTCGGCGTTGTAGCCCATCACCACGGTCACGTTGGTCGCGTAGCGGCCCTTCTTGATGAGCACGAGCGGCTGGTCCTCGAGGAAGTCGCCATCGACCAGCGGCTGGAAGTAGTTGATCTGGGGCGTGGTCGACAGCGGCGCGATGCTGTTGGCGGGCAGGCCGCGCATGCAGGCGAGCACCTCGGCGGTCGTCGACTGGTTGCAGCCCAGCTGAGCCGACCACGAGAGCGACGCGGCCTTGCTCCGGCTGAGCGTGGGCAGCACCCACTGCCAGACGCTCTGGAGGATGACGCGCTTGAAGAGCTGGTCGGCCCGAACGGACTCGCCCGGCGGGTTGATCATGAGGTGCAGGAGGGCCGAGCCGGCGCCGGCGCTCTCGCCGAAGAGGGTGACCTGATCGGGGTTGCCACCGAATGCGGCGATGTTGTCACGCACCCAGTGCAGGGCCAGGCGCTGGTCCAGCAGACCCAGGTTGAGGCTGTTGTTGGCTTCGAGCTCAGGCAGGGCAAAGAAACCAAAGATGTTCAGGCGACACTGCAGAGGTCACAACAATTAATTGTGAATAATAAAAAAAAGACAATCATAAAACCCGCTCGCGAACATGTTCCAACAACAATTCGGCAGATAAATCGGTAATTAATGCATAACAGGAGTTAAAATATTTTAACTCCTCGCGTGCGGCCACACAGGAGCTAAGATGGACCGGCGAAGAAGCACGAACCTGAATCGTGACCAAGACCACGCGACCGTTGCCGGAAAGCCACTGGCCGGCGTACTGGTCGGACTCGCCCGTCCAGTAGCGGCCGCCGTGCACGTAGACCATCACCGGCAGATCGTCGCCTGCCTGCGCGTCGCGCGGGGTGAACACGTTGAGGTAGAGGCAGTCCTCGCTGCCGATGGTGCGGTTGGGGTTCGGGGAGGAGGCCGGCTGGACGCACGGCGCGGGCCACGTCGTGGCGTTGATGGCCTCCGTCCACGTCGCGGGCGCGGTGGCCGCAGCGAAGCGGGCCGGCGGGGCGGCGAAGGGTATGCCGAGGAAGGCGCGGGTGAGATTGCCCCCCTGCTCGGCGGAGGACTGGTAGAAGCCCCGCACGGGGCCGTAGGTGGTGCTCACCACGGGTCCATCTTCTTCTTGCGCGACGGCCGACCCAACTCCGCCGGCTGCGACGAAGAAAACGATGAAGAAAAAGACGCCACACAGGGCAGAGAAGGGAGGCCTGTTTGTTCTTTCGCTTGATCGGCTGGTGGAGCTCATTGTTGGTGAATGTTGGTGTGTTGCGGGGTCGAAGTCGAACTGAACAGGAGCCGGAGAAGCACTGAAAAGAGCCAACCAAGCACGCTTCCAATCGGGGAGTGGCGGGATTAGCGGATACCTCCGCCTGTGCGATGATTGCTCTCGTACGGTAGCTCGTTTCGCTCTCCTCACGGCGCGGCCTCTACACGGTACGCGGCGGCTGGGTCGTTCCTGCATGGCCGTGTGCCGCGCGCAGAGCGAGACCCGGCGCGGGAGCAAGACCCCAACACCCACCACACGTACGAACGGGAAGGAAGCCCCCAATCAAGGCGAGGCGAATGTGCCGTCACTGCCCCCCCCCCGGACAGATCAATCAAGAGGCCAGCGCCTCAATACAGCGATGTGAGAAATCTGCGCCCAACGAACAGGCTAAAAGGGCGCGTAGTGCCTTTTTTTCTACTGGTGGGTATCCGGTGTAACGGTGCGCACGTGCAGGTGCCATCGGCACTCCCGTCTCCTAGGTCTGCTCGTCTGCACGATTTGTTCAGCTAACCAGATTAACCTCACTCGTTGATTGGACGAACAAGTCCGCCTGCACCAAAACCCTCCGCCAGTGCCGCCGCCTTTTCTCCCTTCTTTCCGTGCGCTGGGTGGCGCGTTCGTGCACCGGGTGGCCGCGAGAGAAGGCCATCTGAGAGAGCTCGTTATCACGGGCCAGTCCGGAAAGGTTGCACCGGCTCACACCACGGAGACGGGAGGGCAGAAGAAAGCGCTTCCTCTCGCGCTTTAGGGGGCAGAAACCCACAACAAACACTCACACGACCAACACGCACACACAGACATTGCCGGCGTTGCTTCTGGCTGGTTGCGAGGGCAAAGAAGGTACCTTATTAGGGGTATGGTGGAGCAGAGCAGCGAACACAGCAATCGAGGGTGCGTGAGCGAATCCTGGCTGCGACGGCGGCACGATGATGATGACGAACAATCAATCTTCTTCGATCTTCCTCAAGAGCAAGGAAGAAGCGATGCCACACATCCTCATTTGGTGCCGCCCCCTCCTCCTTTGTCAGTGAAGGGCAGATAATCGATTCAGTTAGGAGTTATCCTCTTGTCTTTTGGAGGGAGCGTACTTGACCCTCACACATTGCACGCTTCTCTGCTGTGCCAGCGATCCATCTCAAATCTTCTGGACGATGGTGGCGTGCGTGAGAGGTGGAGCCTCAGGGATGTTGATTTGCCCTATTTTAGAAATATTTGGGTCACCGGATTTCCCTCCACCATACGCGTATCTAGCAGCCGGCCACGCTCGGCCTCCACTACTTATGTCCATCGATGGACTTCTACTTCGTAGCATCTTCTCTGCCCTAAATCTCTGCCCTCACCTAGGATCGCCTAGATGCCAGACTCTTGGTGTGGGATCTTGGTGGTAGTCGGAGTTTGTTGGCCGATCAGATGCGGTTGTCGGTCACCTGGGCTCATAAGAAACTGACTCGCCACGTCCCGACGGTTGCGCGGTTTACCAGGTTAGGGCGCACTTACGTAGAGAAGCCCGGCAGCATGCTGCTCAAGAAGGACGTGCACGCCGCCTACTCGGCCTTCTGCGCTGAGCACCGCTTCGAGACCACCACCAACGCCGCCTTCGGCAAGATGTTCAAACGCGTCTTCCCCAGCGCCGGTACGCACGCACCTCCGTGCCTCGTTGCGGTGGGCTCCACTCATCGTCGTTGACGGGACTCTGCATGTCTAATCAGAGGTGCGCCGGTTGGTGAAGCACAACGAGACCACCTTCTTCTACGAGAACATGACCTCACAGTCTGCGAGCGGGAACGCTCCGCTACCCTCATCGTCGTCGCCTGGAAATGGAAACGGCAGCCCTCGCCCTGCGTCCGAGTCCACTCCGGTGCGAGAGCAGCGACCGAGGCTCGAGGGCAGCACACATAGCCCGAAGAGACGGAGAGCGACGGCCAAGGAAAAGGGAAGGTTAGGGTCGGGCGACACCAACAAACGCCGATCTGTCAAAAGCGAGGAGGAAGAGGAAGAGGACGGAACTGAGGCCGAGCTGGCACGATATGACCAGAAAGGCTTCGGTCGGGAGGAGAGGACAGCGGTGCGGCCAGAGCGGGCGAGCGCCGCGGTCAGCGTGCCTGTCGGGGAGCCACAACTGGCTTCTTGGACGAGCGACGCCCAGCTGGGCTTCACGGATACGCTGCACCGGTTCTGCCAACTCTACCGCCACGAGATATGGGGCTTTTTGTACACGTGCCCTCACCCACAAAGCGCAGCACGTTTGGCGCTGCGGGCTAACTTTATTTCGCGCGCAGCCCAATCAATCCCTCGATGGTGGAGTACCCGACGCTGTCGTACATCTTCAACACAGATCACGGGACGGCCGAAAGAAGTGCTCTTTCCGTTGCCGCCCATTACGTTGTCAGCATGGGTACAGATCTCACCGCACGGTTCCGCGCAAGAAGTCACAGTCTGTGACAGTGTCTCACGCGTACGTGCGTACCTACAGGATATCTACTACTGGGGGATGTCACGCATGGCCGCGAATTCTTTTGGAAGGCGCGAGAGCATCTCTCCTATGTGTTTGACTCCTCCAACTACGATGTTGCCTGTCTGCTCAAACACATGGTGCGACTACCCCTTCTTTGGGAAAAAACAATATTCGAGGCTCATTCACTTGCTTCCCCGCATAGTCGTGGGCGGCAATGCTCTTCAGTGGAACTGGGTCGGAGGGACACGAACGGGAGACATACTACCTGTCTTTGTGCAAGAACATTTGCCAAATGCTGGGCGTATGTCGTACACGCCTTGCCACCATCAACTCTTTGCTAGGTCTGCAATTTACCTCCATATGATGCAGGCCGAGAATGACGGGCTGTATCTCGGCACGCTGAAGATGATGGCCATCAAGGATCGGACCACATCCTACGAAGGAGAGATACAGAAGGCGCTGCGCAGCCCTCACTATGCTAATGGATGGCAAGCCATCGGGTACGCACCACGCTCGAGCTTAGCCTGCAGAAAGCCAATGACTGATTTGTTCATTCGCCATCAGGCCTATGGCCATACACGCCCACTTCAATGAGCACTTCACCGCGCGGCTGCTTGAGAGCTACAAGAACATCGTCCTCCTGACCGAGGCCTCCCGCCAAGGTACGAACTGTGGCCCGTTGTTGCCCCCCTGATTTGCATTTACCAACCGTCGCTCGTGGCCTCGCACCAGTGCCGCAAAGGCCACCGAGCCAAATCTACCAAGACTTCACCAAAGAACTCCAGGAACTTCAGAGATATGAGGATGGGTTCATACAAATCTATGGGTACGCTGAGAATGACGCACACTGCGTTGCTACCCGCAGCTCAGCCCACTCATGTCATAACTCAGTGAAAGCCCACCACCGAGACTGTGCGGAATTCATGTATCTTGCCTTCTGGTTTGCCGGGCGATAATCTTCAACCACCTCAACAATCACGGCGCGGTCGAGCAGCACCTGCGAGGTCCGTACCATCGATTGCAATCCCCCTTGGCTCGTTTCGTTTCCAATACGTGCTAGTGTACCACGCAGGCTTGGTGCAGCATTTTTCCCGCATCGACGCGGCGTCCGTGGCCATCGTCATCACAGAGTTTGGGTCCCGCGGCATGTTCTGGCGAGAGGTTGTGAGCGTCATGCTTCAGCACCAGCTCTACGATCAGCTTGGCCAGCTCACCCAGCTCGTGCACCCACTCCGGCAACACTTCTACTGGATCGACGCAGAGATGAGGTACGGTGAGCTCTCTTGGAGTTGGCGCGGACCAGAGCTCATTCTCTGCATTCCTCCTACCGACTCAGTCAATTGGATAAGGCAATGGGAGAGGCTCACTCCGTGCGCGGGTCCTACCCCACTTTCTCACCGTGGAAACCTCCACCTCGCGACCACCCGCCACGCAGCCCGTCGCCTCTGTTCCCCTATGTGGCCGTTCCCTCCCAGCTTCCTGACTATCGAGAGCCTCTGGATCCCACCCAGACTGAAGACCAACAGCACGGAATAAAAAACAATTAATTTTTTGGTGTGCAGGAAACCTGCAGCTTTGGGCGAAGATAAATTTATCTAAGAATTGGATAATCACAACTACATATTCGCATCGATACAGAAAGATGGAGTGGGAAGGTGCCGGCAGAGGTGGCGGAAGGGGCGGTGGCCGCGGCGGTGGTCGCGGTGGAGGCGGTCGGGGCGGCGCACCCAAACGCCAGGGGGTCAAGAGCGCGCTGGCCACAAGATTCGATCGCGAGCGTGGAGGTACAGCCCAATTTTGCTCACATGTCCCACCCCGTTGGCGATCAACATCAAATTGGTCACTGTCATGCAGGCAGAGGTCGCGGCCGTGGGCGAGGACGAGGCGAATCTCGAGGTGGCAGAGGAGGCAACGGAGACTATGAATCCGAGAAGCAATTTGGATTCAAATTGATGGTACGTTCGTCGCATCTTAATGTCCTGTGGGCACGACTCATGGCCACCTAATACAGGTGCAAGGCGTCACGCCCGAGACAAAGATCCAAGATCTGGTGGAGTTCCTTCAGAACAAAGCCGAACAGCCCTTCACCGTGAGCGAGGTAATACGTTCGCCCCGTCACTCTTGTCGCAGGCAACGACAAGCCGTACACACGTGACCTAGTGAGCGTCCTCACCCATTCCGTTTGCTTCTTCTTCCGCCTGTCCCCGCCAGAGCTACATTACGGATGGCAAGGCGTTTCTCGTAATCGACAATCGCCAAGAGTCCATCGCTGTTCAAAAGCTGAGCGGCATCCGATACAACCAAGAAAAGGTGCGTCACTTCACTTGCCACACCCTCGTTTGTGTTTTGTGCAGCGCTCTGCTGCTCGTCGCTGGATCACTCACTGAGCGTGTTTCGTCACCTTGCCGCTTGCAGCTTCTCATCCGGTCGGTCAAGTACTCCGGCCCCTCGGCGATGACGGAGAAGTACAAGGGCGCGTTGGTGGCCCTCGTGGAGCCCCGCTTTAACGCCCAGGCCAACTACCTCAACCTGTCCAAATTGCAGGGCATCGAGGTCGAAGGGTTCAAGATTGACTTCAACAACGTGTCGACCATGCGTACCCTGTGGTCTGTCATCGCGCAGAAGTGCCCCACGGTACGTCGATTATTATATTTTATATTCTATATTCTATATTCTATATTCTATTTATTTTGTCATTTTTGTGGCACAGCTTCTCACTCAAGCTTGCTTTTCGTCTGCTCGGACAGGTCTCAACAATCAACCTGGCAAGCAACCGCATTCACAACCTCAATGCGTTTAAGGACCTCACCAACCACTTCTCCGGCCTGGTGAATCTGAGCTTGGAGGTGCGCTGCGCCACTTCTTTTCACATTTAGACCACACCGCACCCGCGCGGGTGCCCCTCCCGGGCGAGTCAGTGCCTAAGCTCGCATTCGCCGTGCAGGAAAACAATATCTCCGACTTCAAGCAGCTTGATAATCTCAAGCAGATCAAGCTGCGCGAGCTCGTGCTGGCCGGCAACCCCATCTCCGCCGAGCTTGACGAAGCCACTTACAGAAGGTTCGCTGTCGTTTCTCGAACTTTTTTCACATTCGGCTCCCAGACTGTCTCTGACGTGGTTGCGGCGCCAACTGGCGTATTCCTTCAATAATTGCAGCCAAGTTACTCGTCGCTTCCCGGCGCTCAAGTACTTGGATAGGGTCAAGCTCCAACCGGTTATTTCATTCGACATCCCGACCTACGTCCTGCAGAGCGTGTTGCCCCCCTCGCAGCCGTCCTTCTTCGATTCGCCGCAGCGCCAAACACTCGCCGTTGATTTCCTCCGAAAGTACGTCTAGTCCGCTTATGCTTTGTTTCCACCAGCGTCGTTCTGATGGTTGCGCCCGTACACCACCGCACGCATAGGTTCTATGAGCTCTACGACAAGAACAGGCAGGGATTGCTCGAAGTCTACACCGACTTCAGCTTTTTCTCGCTTACCACCGGCGCTCTGGAACGGCTGAGCGAGAAGGAGAAGCAAAAGAATCTCAGCGAGTATCTCCAAGCCAGCAGGAACCTGCTCAAGGTACGCGCGCAAGTCTACACCTCGGACGTGCATTCAGGCCTGATCGTTACTGTTCCATTCACCTATGCAGGTGGAGGACATGGAGCGGAGGGTGGAGCGCCTGCAGACAGGGCGCGTGAATATCGTGCATCTGCTGTCCACTTTGCCGGCCTCGCATCATCAGCTCGAACACTTCACGGTCGACTCCTACATGCTCCCACCAGTCGGGACCCTGCAGATCATGGCTGTGAACGTGCACGGACACTTCTGGGAAGGTACGCATAGCCTTGTGGCGGAGCGTTCACGTTTAATGCAGTCTTGTGACACGCGCACAACGCTCTCACACTACACGCAACAGTGGAAACGGGAGTCAATCGTTCGTTCGACCGAAGCTTCCTCCTCACTCCGGCTCCACCCGGCTCGCGCGCCCTGCAATACGGCCTGCCCGTGGTGGTGATGAACGACATGCTGCACGTACGGAACTACGTGCAGACCTCCGGCGACGCTCAGGCCAAGGCACCGCAGATCGGCAGCCCGGGACCCAGCCTCTCCCTTCCTCCCTCCTCCCTCTCGCTCACGCCAACCAAGTCCACCGTGCCACTTTTCGGCTCCACGAGCTCGAGTCCGTTCACTTCTTCCACCTCAAGCGAGGTACATTGTGATGGTGCGTGGGTGGTGGCGAGTGGTCTCTCATTGCTCCGTCGCTACCAACGTATATGCAGGATCTGGTGCAAAAGCTGTCGTACGTGACGGACATGAACGCTGCGACGGCCAGGACGTGCCTCGAACGAAACGGCTGGGACTACGCGAAGGCTCTCGCCAACTTTTACGAACTCAAGGTAAACTCTACTATATAGCCATGACCACCTTGTTCGTGATTTCACCCGCCTGACTCTTCCCTGGCGAAACGACGCACCCAACAGGGCAAGGGACTTGTTCCGCCCGAGGCCTTCACCACAAAGCAGTGACCCCGTGTGGCGGTTCTGCCTCCCTCTTCTCTCTTTTCTTTTACGCTTTCACTAAACGTCCAACAAAGACCGCCCACCACCAAGCCCTTCGCTTTCGTTCTTCGCAAAGTCTTCGCTTTTGGTTTACAACCAAAAAGCTGATCCCACACCCGAGCAGGCCTCCTGTCTTTTTGGTCTAGTTTTCGGATTGGTCTGACAAGCTTGATGGACAGGAGTCATTCCAACCGCGAAGAGGAGGTGAGGAGCTCCGAGGGCGGCAGAACCTCAAGGAAGCAAAGGCTTCACCTCTCCTGCTTAGAGCGCTAACGAACCAACCTACGCTACAATCAAGGCCGACCTGCTGCGAAGGAAACTTGGCGCAACCATCATCAGCTCTCTCCGCCAAAGCCTTCTCTCTTACCGCCATCCCCAGCCGCCGTTTCCCTTGCCCTTGCGACTACTCTAGCTCCTGTCAAGGGCGCATCGCCCAAAGGACCGCATGTGGTCATCACCGGCCCTCTCGCTTGTTCTCGTCATCTTTGGAGGTCTCCTCCTCCTTGCATCGTGTGGCCTGTCCACTGCCAGCAGCGCCACCTCTCAGCTGACCGAGGCACCGCCCCTCCCCGTGCGTGACCAGTGCATGCGAGCCACCGTCAGCTCCGTGGCCGATCACCTCTACCGCGACCACAAAAACTACCGGTACACGCACCACACAACACAACCACTTCCCTCTTCATCTTCATTCCCTCCCCCGACTCACAATCATTCGTTGCAGAACCATCTCCCAGGCGCTGTTCCCGACGGAGGGCGACCACTCGCTGATCGTGTGGGTTGACGTCGACTGGTGGAACGGTACCAGCGGCCTGCCGGGGGTGCGCGACTCCTGGGCGTGGAGCACGTCGTGCCTCTACGTGGTGCTGCCGCTCGAGCTCTTCCCGCTGCTCTCCATCTGGGTCTTCAACCCGCAGCAGCGAATGAAAGAGGTACATACATGCGTTACCGAACTTCTTCTCTCACACTTGCGTCGAGACTTGGTTCGCTGATGGGCGAACTCGGCACAGGTGACGGTGTCGTTGCCGCCGTTTTGTGCCAACGTCACCGCCGAGCAGGCCAACACGGCCCTCTACCTCAGCTTCAAGCGGGTACGCGGTTGCGATTCTGACACGGGAGTGGTCTGGTGCGCTAAAGCGACGAGGTGGTCGATCACGCAGATGGAGGCCTACGTACGCAATCGGGACGACCCCGATCCGGATCTGAGCATGGCGCAGTGCGTGGTGGCATTCGACAGTAGTGGGCACATGACTCCCGAGAGCGATGAGGCCGGCCTGGATAAGGTAACACAAACAACACACACACACACAACACACACACACACACAATCATTTTCGCCATTGTATGAACGCGCTGCCGATGAACGTGTGCGCGCGCAGGCATATTTGCTGTTCTACTTGAACCTCGCGGGGATCGGATTGTTTATGCTGGCCCTGGTATTCCTGGCCATACAGTACGTGGTCGACTGGGTCAACGCCGACAGGCACAGCGAGGCGGGCGCTGACGGATATATAGCTGGGAACAGCCCGCCGGGAGGGAAGAACGACCATCTCTACACTGATAACACGGCCAAGTTCGGTGCGGCGTCGATCGACGGACGCGGACGGCCCACCAGCGCTACCGAGGGCTACGGCAGCGTCGACCACCAACTCTACGCCAACGAGGAGGGACACGTGGTGCATGTTGCCACGAGCGACAGCGACGATGGGGATGCGGACGACACGGACGCCGATGAAGACTACGCCGCCGCCGAAGAGTCCGGCACGCCCAGCCTGCGCCGCGCCGCCGGAGAGATGGGCGATGTGCTCCATGGCTACGGTGATCGCGCCGGGCGTTCGGGCTACTGGCCACGCGGCTCCGGCTACGAGACGGGCGCAACAGCAGCGGCAGCAGCGAGAAGGAACTCGAGGCATCGCCTGCACGAAGGCGAGGTGGCCCAGATCAAGGGCGGCCTCCAGCGGTGCCGCGCCCGAATCCTGCGCCTCCGCGGCGAGCTGGGAGGGCTCGAGGCCGACCTCGCTCTGGGAACTGTAGCCGCGGCATCGCTCCGCGCCGCCGGCCAGATCAAGATCGCGAACGGCGAGGCCCGTGTGATCGAGCAGGAGATCCTCCTCAGCGAAGCCGAGGCCAACATGCTCGAAGAGGCCGGCGTGTGCTCCCTCCTCAAAGGTATCCATGAAGCAATGGCCCTCCTTTCCTTTCTAGTCAGTTCTGACAGTTCTGACGTTTGTGTGTAACACGTGCGTGCCGCTGCGCTGTTAGCCAAGGAGATGAAGTACGATTTTCTGATGATGAAGCGAGAGATGCTGGACCTCAAGAAGCGGCTGTGGGAAGTCGAGAAGGCGGCGTGGTCCGCCGAAGACGATCTCCGGCGGCGCAAGCAGCGGAGTGCGGTGTGGGAGAATTACCTGCGGGCGCTCATCGGGTCGCCCCTCCTGTGCGACCTCTTGTGCGCCGGCTTCCTGGCGTTCCTGATCGACTTCTACACCTCCATGCTCGGACCGTTCGCCAAGGCGACCGTCATCCCCCTGTTCGCGGTCAACCTGCTATGCTTCGTCCCGTGGGCCATCGACTTTGTGCGCCATCGGCTGGGCTCGCTGGCCTTCATGCTCTGCTGCTCGTGCTTCCTCCTCTGCGAACGTCGGCGCGCACAGAGCATCGTTCCACCCAGGGTACCGTGTGCGTGTGCGCGTGTGCGTGCATTGCTGACTTTAGCTTGTGCGATTGCAGGATGGTGATGCGATGGGAGACGAGCAGGAGGCGAACGACAAGAAGGCCAACGTGTGGGTATTGCTGCCCGTGGTAGTGGTCTTCGTGCTCCACTTTGCCTTCTTCCTGACATGGATTGCGCTGGCGACGATGTTCGACTTTGCCTATTCGCTCGAGATCATCTGCCTCCTCGTCGTCATGCTCTTCCACCTCTTCATGAGCGTCAAGCTCGTGCTCAAGATCGTTCGCCGCATCAAAGGTATGCGTGCCCTGCCTTTCCCTTCACACATTCCTCATTCTCTGTGGTGCGCATTCCTCACTCACTGCGGTATACGACGTGAACTCAGACGACAGCGCCGAGGCGGCGCGAAGCGCAGCAGCCCGCGCACGAGAAGAGACCGACTACGATGAAGCTGAGGTGTTTGGTGAGGAGAACAACAACCACAAGGACGAAGCGCGCGCGGCCGCGGCGGTGGCACTGGAGAAGGACGGGCGGAGCGGAGTACTCGCGCGCGCGTTCGGCTGGTGTCCCGACCCGCTGCGAGGCTGCCTCGGCGGGTGGGTGTGGTTCCTCTGCATGATGCTCTGCCTGCTCGCCGCGCTCGTGATCTTCCTCGTGTGGCTGCACGCGGGCTACCACACCTTCGCCCGGCAGAAGACGGCCGGCCTGCAGCTCCTCCTCACCGTCGTCACCCTGTTCGTTCTCCTCCTCGAGCGACAGATCATCAACCTCGACATCAGCCGACGCGGCTACCTCCGCAGCTTCCCCCGTCTCGTTTGTCGCCTCGCGCACCAATGAAACTTTTGCGCACTTCCGCAGCAACCACACACGCGCACCACATTCCTGTCGTGGCGGAACCTTCGTGTGCGAGGTCAACGGAAAAGACGTTGTACGCAGCACGCGACCACACACGCACGGCGCAGCACAACTGAACGAGAACACCAACTTATAACAACCACTTCCTCCAAACAACACACCAAACCGCACGGCAACCTTTGCAAGCCCTTCATTTCTACACAAAAAATGCGATACGAGCATCTGGGATTCTCCCTCTTCATCATCGTCTCCATCTTCATCATTTCAGGGGCGAGTGGGCAGCCGCGACACACGCCTGCACCTGTTTCTGCCGCCGTAATGAACGAGCAGCGGCTACGTGCCGAAGCCATCTCCGAAAAGTAATCCACATTACACAGCTAATTGGATTAATAATAATCTATTAATCCAATTAAATTAATCCATAATTAATTTACCCTCTAGATACAACTTGGGCTGGTACGGCAATTGGTGCGGTGGTGGGCATGGCGGCTATCAGGTACGAACCCTCCACCCAGCGTGCAGTGCTTATGCCGCGACCTCATCTTGGGTGCATCATCCATCAAGGACTGCTGCAACGGGACCGCGTGCCCCGCGTGCGTGACGGACGTTCCCGACGAGTGCAATGCTGGTGAGAGCGAGAACTGGGCGAAGTGCCGTCCCACCAAGGAATGCGCCAAGCGTACGTTGGCTTCACCCGCGAGCGAGTGGTCGTGGGCGCTGCTTCTCACGCAATGCCAACGCCAATGCCCACCAACAGAATGTCCGCCCGTCGATGCCATGGATTTGGCGTGCGCGGCGCACGACTCTTGCTGCATCAGAAACAGGCTTCCGCCTTCACTTCCCTCGTGCTATCCCGAGGGGAACTACTGCTGGTGCGATTGTAACCTGGTGGCAGACGTACGTCCTTCTCTTCTTCTTCTTCTCTCGTTTCTCTTGATGACATGGCATGAGCTCACTCGACGGTCCGCGTGACAGGTGCTCAACGTAACATGCGATACGTGGGCCTGCTCGAGCTTCAGGAGCCTGCTCATCCAGGCCTTCGACTACACGCTCGCGTGCTGGGCCTACCCGACAGGCAACTGGACCGGTGCGCCCTACTGCAATGGCGTCATCAACCGCAAGCAGCCCGTCAGCCAGTATTGCACTGCTGCCACCAACTAACCCGAGGCCTGGTCCCGCGGGGTGTACATTTGGGACCACAATTTAATATAATTAATAATATAATATAATACTCGACTTTCCCTTTTTAGGAACAATTCCAATCAATAAATAAATAAATAATTTACTATTCTTCCGGGAGGGCCGCATGTTCTGGCCGAGCAATAGGGAAGGACCACGAAGGGCGCAGTGCGGTCCATCTCTCAAGCGGCAGCCGGCGCTGCAACCATGCCCACGCGCGATGCTGAAAGCGCACGTAGAGGTCGTCGCAGTTGACCAGCAGGAAGCCACCAACGACCGCGGTCGAGCCCAACAGGTACAACCACCCGAAGCTCTTCCCCTTGAGCACGATGTCGGCGAGCATCGCCAACGGGATCGTAAGGCTGTTGTTGTGCGGAGAGAGAGAGAGAGATCGCGTGGGTGAGTGCCCATGTGGCGAGCAGGTCGATGACAAGTGGCTGGGGTGGGTACCTCAGGCCGATGGTGGCCACGAGCGGGCTGGTGAGGAGCACCGACCACAGCCACATGTAATCCGACAGCACGGTGCCGATGAGCCCATTGATCGTCAGATAGAGCCAGACAGTACCCTAAACAGCCACAACAACCAACAATCAGCAAAACCGCGATCAAACGCTGCACTACATGGGGCGGTGAATCTCTACCGAGGGGAGGGCGAAGGACTCGATGCCGGTGTAGTTCAGAAGAAAGCCGAACGGCCACAGCATCACCACATTGAAGAGCCCCACCAGCCCTGCACGACCCACCCGAGGAAGTCACGCACCGGCCGTCAGGGGAGAAGCTGGAGGGGGGGGGTACCGAAGAATCGTCGGGTGTTGAGCTTGGTCTCGTCCTTGATGAGCAGCTTGAGGAGCACCACGTACAGCGCATAGAACGCCGCGCCTGCGAGATTCACCGATGGTGTAACAATGTTACATTGGAGGGGGGAAGGGCACGGCGCAGTGAGCTGGGAGGGCCCATGACAGTCGTTGCGGTGATCGGTGGGTTTGGGGAGGGCGCACCGATGAGGCAAAGGATGTCGCCGGCGAGCGAGTCGCCGTCGCTGCTGTTGGAGTCCGTCAAGGCGACCATCGCCACGCCGCCCAGGCTGAGCCCCACGGCGATGAGCTTGCCGAACGAAAACGAGTCCACGCCAAGTACGCTGCCCAGAAACAGCGTGCCCAGACCTGTTGTTGGCCACGCGCACACGGCCAGCACACAGACGCAAGAAAGTGATGGGTTAGCCACTCCTCCGCGACACACGAGAAGACGAGAGTGGGGGAAGAGGGGAGCCCTACTCGATGTGGAGGAGAGGATGGTGTTGGACGAGACGCTGGTGAGGGAGAGGCTCTTGTTGTAGGAGTAGTTGGCGGCGAACCACACCGGACAGAAGATGAGCGACGTCCTGGCGATCTGCCAGAACGTGTAGCCGTTCGCCTCCCCGGCGTCGTCGTCGTCACTCTTTGCCTCCAGCGGCGGCGGCGCTTCTCGCAGCCGATCGTACGCGTGGTGGCTGGTCTCCTCTCCACCGCCTCGCGTGGCGCCGACGTCGTTGATGTGCGTGCTCGCGCCGTTTGGCGTTGGCGAACTCTGGTGGAGGTCGTCGCTCTCCGATCCGACGCCGCTGTCGTTCACGATGAGCTCCTTCCGTTCGTCTTTGGGTGGTGTACGCGCCGAGCACGCCCTTCTGTGCCCAGGCCCGCGTTCACAAGATGAGCGACGCGGAAGGGCAAGAAGAGGGAAAGAAGAGGGGAAGAGGGTACAGCCAGGGCAGGTCGCGAAGGAAGTCGAGAAGGTAGAGGGTGAAAAGCGAGGTGGAGAAGTAGGTGAGGAAGAACGGATGGTCGAAGTCGGCGTTTGTGAAGATGTACTGGGAAACGACAAAATCAAAATAAAGATAGAATTAATAAAGATATTTGCATGTCAGATTAATGCATATGCAAAAATAATTGCAAAGTGAGCGGTGGCACCTGCATGAGCACGCCGGAAAAGACCCAGATGAAGACCACCCCCAAGAGGATGATGAGGCCCAATGTCCATCGCCCCGCCTGGTTGGATCGCTCCAGCAAGCCCTTGATAGTGAAACTTCGCGTTTCCGCCTCCGTTTGTCGCTCCTCGTCCCCGCCACTCTCCTCCATCTCTCCTTTCGCCCCCTTGCACGAGATCTCGAACGAGATTGTGCTCACAAAAATTAATAAGTAAATATCCGCAGAAAAGTCGTCTGAAAATTGATTTCTTTTTATTTTATGGAGTGGATGAAATTTCTCGTGTTCCTTTAAAGAAAATTCGAGTGATAAGAGGAGAGGGTATCCACGGCCACACACGCGGCGCCGCAGGCAGCTGAGCTCTCATCTTCACACGATCACACCCACTGACACCGCCGTTCGAATCAGAATGGACCTCACCACCAGCAATTTGGCGAATGTTGTGCGAATCCCACAGCGTGAGGAGCAGTACCTGAAGGCCACAGGCATCGATCAGCTGCTTTCCAATCTCGTGTCGCAGCTGTACATACACAAGCCCGAGGATGCCATCAACTTCATGATCAACTACCTTCAGCACACCAAGCTCGAGCGAAACTCGGTTTCTTTCTCTGGTGCTTCGTCATCTTCTTCATCTTTCTCCTCCTCCTTCTCTTCTTCGACTTCATCGCCTGTCGGCAGCTCGTCCACCGTTACCACTCTGCAAGTGAATGGCAGCCCACAGTCAGCCGGTGGTGAAGACGAGGGTAATGGTGCCGTGGAAATGGAGCAAGACAAGAAGGGCAACGGCAATCACCTCGATCAGAGCGGCGAGTATGGTCGCGAGGACATGCAGGTCACCTCGCCCGACGGCGGCCCGGTCGACATCGATCCTACCCTCAGCGGCAACCGCTCCCTGCAGCGCCGAAGGATGGCCATCTCTTCCGAGCCTGTGGACCTGAGCGGCTTCGACGCAGATATGCCAGGCAATGGCGTGCCCAACACGCCCAAGAGCCCCGAAACTCTGCAAGCTCTCGAAGAAGCGCTGCGCACCAACGTTCTCTTCGCCCATCTCGAGGAGGACGAGCGTAGGCAGGTGTTCGATGCCATGGTGGAGGTCAAATTCAACGCCAACGACATCATCATCCAGCAGGGCGACGAGGGCGACAACTTCTACGTCGTCGAGTCGGGCGAATGTGAGATCTGGATCGCCAAGGAGGGCCAGCCCCCTCAGCGGGTCAGCGTCGTGAGGGAGGGCGGCAGCTTCGGCGAGCTTGCACTCATCTACGGCACTCAGAGAGCCGCCACTGTCAAGGTACAGCCCCAAGTGACGTAATCTAGAGAACGAAAAATCTCCATCGCTGACCATGCGTTGCTCTAATGTGCACTCCAGGCCGCTACCGACGTGACGCTGTGGGCTATTGACCGCGTCACCTACAGGAGGATCCTGATGGGAGCCACCATCAAGAAGCGAAAGATGTACGAGGGCTTCCTCGAGAAGGTCCCCATTCTTGGTACCGTGCCCCCTCTTGTTGTGTCCGCTGCGTGTTTCGCCTTTGGCTTCCCTTTCCCAGTCCGTTCACCACTTGCTCTCTTCCATTCTCACTCTCTCTCTCTCTCTCTTTGTCCATTTCAGCGCCGCTCAACCACTGGGAGAGGCTCACTGTCGCCGACGCGCTGGAGCCGGAGGTCTACCACGACGGCGAGGTGATCATTCGTCAGGGAGAGAGGGGCGACTCTTTCTTCATCATCGTCGACGTACCCTCGCCCTTCCCCGTTCTTGTTGTCTCGCTCGCTATGTTGTTTCGAGCTATTCCCCCTTGTCCTTGGTGTTGATGGCTTTCTTCCATGTTCACTGCAGGGCGAGACGAAGGTGTCGCAGGTCAACGAGCAGGGCGAGGTGGAGGTCGCTCGCCTGTATCCCTCTTCGTATTTCGGTGAGATTGCCCTTCTCACCGACAGGCCGAGAGCCGCCACCGTAACCGCCATCGGCAATGTCAAGGTAGGCTTCACCTTCACCTCCCTCTTCGTCGTTGTTGTTGTTGGAGGTTTAACCCCCCCCCCTCCCCCCTCTCTTCCCATTGCGTGCAGGTGGTGAAGATGGACAGGGACCGCTTCAACCGGGTGATGGGTCCGTGCGAAGAAATTTTGAGGAGGAACATGGAGATCTACAACCAGTACATCTCCACCAAGATCTAGTCGACCCGAGCGGTGCGACACGAAGGAAGCAACCCCGAGAAGAAGCTTGGTCGACGTCGGGCCGGAGGTCTACCACGACGGATCTTTGCGCTTATTGTCGTGCGCGCATGTACAGAGTGGGTTTGGTGCAGGGCAGGTCACAACATCAACAACAACAACAACTACCTCAATAGCATCTGTTCCTTGTTCTCTATCTTCCATCTTTGCATGCAAGGCTGACTAGTACACACTTGCGCAGAAGTAAGTGCGGTCGTGTTGAAACGTTCATGCGTGGCGCGGTGGCGTCAGCGGAACACACACAGCACCCTCGCCCTGCGTCTCCACCCAGGCGTTGTCGACCTGTGCCAGAGGGATCCACCACGCACATGACATCAGTGACCTCCCGCTTTGGGGCGAGGGAGATAGTAGGGGCACCTTCCAGCCGCGGCCGTCGTTGTGAGTGTCTACCACGAGGGACAGATCGCTCGCACCCTTGCTTCGGGTCTTGAGGGGAACCTGCAGCTGCAGCTCCTCCGTGGCCATCACCACCCGGTTGTTCGTCACCATGTCCCACAGGCTCTCCTCCTGCCGACCATTCACTCGCGATCAGTCACCACCGAACGCGGCACCGCCGTGAGAAAAAGGAAGAGGGCAGCTGAGTAAGCACCTTGCTGTCGTCTGGCGAGCAGTGCGTAAAGAACTGCCACTTGAGGTGGCTCTTGCTGAGGGAGAGCACATCGGACACCTGCACTCGTGAGGCGGGTTCACTCCCGAGCTGCGCTTGCAGCGGCGTGCTCGTCTTGACCTGCTCCACGAGGTCGCTGCCCACCGCGTTCCACACGTCGGTCTTCTTTTCTTTCTCATCTTCGAGGTAGTGGCTTTGGAGAGGCGACACAAGGTTGCCGAGGTCCAGGCCGAGCTTGAACGCGATGGGGAGGCCCACAGCGTACCGCACCATTCGGCCGCCGCCACCTCCACTACCCCCTGTCGCCATCAAAGTCAACAATCGGCATCTCACAAAGATGTAAAGATAAAGTGTGCACTTACCGTGGGGTGGATTTGCCTGCCTTCTCCACGCGCTCGTCGCTGCTCTCCTCATACTGCAGTACTCTTGTTAACGCGGCTGTTGTGTGTTGGCAGTGGCTTTGCTGCTTTCTTCTTAGAATTGACGAGAATGGCGTTAATCTCTCTTATGTTCGACCAAGTCGCAGCAGCCAACTTACACTAGCACGCGCGGCCAGTCCCGCTCGCTCTCGCCTTCGCTCTTTCCTTCGCTCTCCTTCTCGGCCTCGGACGTGTCGGGCGTCACCGCGCCGCTGCTCACGCCGCTGCCACTGCTGCTGCTGTCCTCCACCCGCGACAGCAACGACCGCCGACCGAGGCCGACGCCGGCGCCGTGCACGGCCGGCTCTAGCTCGTCATCATCGTCGTCGTAGTCTTCGCCACCTTGAATGAGAGGCCGCTTGGGCGACATCACCACCGGCCGTCGCTTGTTGCTGCTGATGCTGTTGCTGGTCGTTCGGGTCATCACCCGCAGCTCCTGATCGGCCGACTCGCCCGTGGTCTCCGGCAGCGCGATGCCGTCGTGGTGGAGCGGCAAGTTGGACTGCACCGGCAGGCAGCACGAGAAGAGCGACGCGAAGAAGCCGCCGCCGGCCTGCGCGCGCAGCCGCAGCCGCGCGTATCGGTCCTCGGCCTGGCGCAGCTCCTGCACCAGCCGCTTGAGCTCGTCGTCGAGCTCCTTGTTGCGGAGGCGCAGCTTCTGGCGCTCGCGCTTGGCGTTCTCGATCACCCCGCGCAAGGCCTGGATCTCGTTTTCGGCGCCGTCGTCCCGGGTGGCGGCCTGGTCGGTTAGCTCCTTGAGCTTGGCCGTGGCCTCCTGCTGCTCGAGCAGCCACTTCATCTCCCGGTCGAGCCGCTCCTGCTCGCGCCGCTTGAGCTCCTCGGTGAGCTGGAGCACCTGGGCCTCCTTCTCGCCGAGCGCCTGCTGCAGCGTCGCGCGCTCCCTCGCGCGCTCCCTGTCGCTCTCGCGCTCCCTCTGCTCGCGCTCCTCCTGCTCGCGACGCATCTGCGTTTCGAGCGCCCGGCGCGCTTCCACCTCCTGCTGATGGCTCTGTAGGAGCTGCTTCTCGCGCTCCTCCCACTCCCTCTCGACGCGCTGCTTCTGCTCGCGCTCCTCGGCCTCGCGGCTGCGACGCTCCTCCTCGCCGGCGACCTTCTCCTTGGACCGGAGCGCCTCGAGCTCGGCCTGCAGCGATGGCGGGCGCGCGGCGACAGCGGCGGCCGTCCCAGCGATCAATTTGCGCTCGGCCTCGAGCTTGTTCACCTTTTCGCGCAGCGTCGCTACCTGTAGCCGCAGAAAACAACTCACTGTCAGCTCAGGGCAGCAGAAGTGGTGGACTGAGGCCAAGTCACACACACACACCACAGACACACGGGGGCATCGGGAGAAAACACGGGCCGGTCGCACGTACCTCGGACTGAGCCGTGGAGAGCTGAAGCTGGTGCTTGGAGAGTTCGATGTCGAGGTCGCTCTTGGCGTCGCCCAAATCTTTGGCCTCCTGGGCGGCTTTCTTCAACGCAGCCACCAGCTGTCCGTTCTGCTCCTGCACCGTCGCGAGCTGTGCGCCGGGCCAACAAAAAGAGGTGTGAGCTTCGCTGGATTGAAGGGCCAAACATGAAAAGGCGAACGACGGCTACGTACGGTCCGCTCTTTCTCTTCGAGGCTCTTCTCGAGATCCGCGAGCGCCTCCTTCTGCACCCCGATCGTGTATTCCATTTCCTCCATCTCGGACCGAGTGCGTTGATCTTCGTCCCTATTTCCTGTTGGCCCAAGCGCAACACGAACGCACACGCACCACCGCACACGACGCAGGTGTAAGAGTGGAACGGAGTACTGGGCGACGCTGAGGCTGCGGGTGACGTACCAGCGAGTGCTTCGACCTCGGCTTTCAGCTTGGCGTTGAGTTTGGTGAGCTCCGCTTCGGCCTTCCGGAAGCGAGTCAGCTCTTCCTTGTAGGACTCCACCTGGTCGGAGAGCTCCTTGGCCTTATCCCTGTGCTGTTGGAGGTTCTTGATCTTCTTGGCCGCGGCATCGAGCTCCTCCTTCTGTGCCAGCTTCTCCTTCGCCAGCTTCTCGTTGAGCGCG